AACTGTGGCCTACCAGTAAGGTTCAGGTGTCTTTCTCCTTCGGGTGCTACATGGAATCTCTTTGACTCCTCCCTATATATCTCTGTTTGGATTTCCCACCTGGTTATACTCTGCCTTTTCATAGGCCAAAGTAGCTTCTTTATTAACCAAAGGTAATAAAATATATTCATAGCATACGGAGGGGAATCCCACATCGTTTAATTACTGGAACTAGCTCAAAATCCAGCATCTCCATGATCAGTTAGATCTTGATGAGATCCTATAAGATCTGGTACCTTGTAAAACTGTCAACACATGATGCTTTCTATCTGTCCTCACACAAAAGACTTAGGATAAAGAGGTCAGAAAGTAACAGAGTAACTGTTCTGAAAGCTATGGCTATGAAAACAGAAGGCTACGGTGAAGGCTCGGTGGCAATGACTGCTATAAAATCCAGCCAAGTGGAGGCAAAAGTGATAAAATAAGTTTCCGATTTGTTTATCTGGCAGTTTTGATTCTGTTTCTGGGAGTTATGCCAGCTCCCCTGGAAGGTTCTTCTATATCCTCCTGGTGAATGGATGCATCCATGTGCATATCTGAAGTGAGTACTGTAGCGTTTGTCCTTTTTGGAGGCTTTACAATTTGTATAGCCTCCTTCCCACCAGTGAATGATCAGAGGCACAAGAGCTGTCTGGAAAACTGACAGTGTGGAGGAACCTAATGGAAAAAAATGCCTTAAAGCAACATTAGCTATCTCTTGTTGAAATATAGAAAACTCAGCATCTCAATAAGGCCTACATTTCCAAACCCTCTATCAATTTAAATTCTAGAACTAACGCAAACCAGATAGAGACAACCTCTTTTAGCAAAGTGTTCTTCACCCTCATTCCTTCATTTTTCTCAAACAACATGAAACACATTCATTTTTCTTAACAAACTGTGAGGTAAGCAGCAGTGTAGAGCAATCTCATGGTCAGTCTGAAGTTGAGGTGCTACCCGTGGTATGGTCTATGCTTTCTCTTTATTCAGAGAGTCAATAGTGGGTCGTCCAACAAAAATAGATTGTCCTTAAATTTGAAATGGCCTTGGTTTTCACATTACTTCTGTACACATCTTGGGTTTCTTCACTTTCTAGAAAAAAGACATATATAGGTGGAAGGGTGTCTGACCATTGCTTAAAGAACTTTGTGTCAAAGAAAGACTCTTCTTATGGAAATAATACCGAGTAAACAAAAACATGGGCCCTACAAAGTTTATTATGACAGCAAGACATAATAGTACTCTATGTCTCTTATAACCTGAATGTGACAATTCCCTCTTGGAGTGATTATATCTTTCATGAAAAACAGTAATTTTATTTTCTTTGTCGTAGTCTGTCTCATGGATTCCTTCTTGACCTCCTTTGCCCTCACCAATCTACATCTTCATGGCAATCCAATGTTATAGTACAATAATAGCATCAGATAGTGTTCAGCAACACTGTCTAGATACATTATACTCCAGGAGACAGGATCAGAAATTTACTCCACAGAAAGGTGTTACCAGTGTCAGCATCTATCCTTAGTTTTCTTACACTTAACGCATTTTGAGTCTCAGAAAATTAACACAGTGACTATCAGGAATTTGCTGAGTCTGTGTGAGGACCCGGAGTTGGTTTGTATGATTTCTTTTTAATGTTTATTTTTATTTTTACCATATGTACATGTGTGGGTTGTGTATGTATAGATGAAGGCAGGTGTCCACAGAAACCAGAAAAGAATGTTGGATCACCTGGAGCTCTCGTTAGAGGTGATTAGAAGCCTCCTAACTTAGATGCTGAGAGCCTCACTCATGTCCCTCTGCAAGAAGAGCACACTTGTTCTGAACTGCTGAGTCATCGCTCCAGTCCAGGATTGCATAGCTTCTGTTAAGATATATATGTGAAAGAAGCTACAAATGTCCAGCTACCAGTGAATGCTATTAACCTTCTATGATACAGAGATGGGAAGAATGGCTGTCATTCAGCATTTTTCATAGATTCTATGTAAATATTGAAAGCAATAAAGGCTGGGCTAAGCAATCTTGTCTTTTTTTCAGTTTCTTTCATTAAGATTAAAGTTGGTTCACTATAAATTGCATCCTGGGAAAATAAATGCAACCAAATTTATTTCTGTTTTTCATCCAGTTTCTAAGGCATAGACTTTTTATTCTTTCTGTGCTTTTACTTTCAATTAAATCTTAAATGCTTGGTCTGTTGATACCTAGAGGAAACTCCTGAGGAAAAAGACAATATTCATAAAACACATCATTTCAGCCCCTTCTGTATTTTCTTCCAACCTATACCCATGTTCAGATCTTATACAGTATGATATTTGGCATGAAATCACTTCCCTGTCAAAGTGCTTTACACCCAAAAGGAATTTGAGGCTAGGCAGGGAACCTGATCATAGAATGCTTATGTAGTAGGTTCAATCCCTAAGGTTGTCAATAAGAGAAATTAATAATACTAAGATAATTAAGAATAGTCAAGTATATGGCAATGGATCAGAGCTAATTTAAACCAGACACATTTTTGACAAAGTATGATATTATTATAAATACTATGGAGCCTATAGTAATAGTTACAGTGTAAGAATTATCAAAATGATAACTTTTCTATTTTTTGCATGTTATTCTTAAAATGTTCAACCTGACTAAAGCCACTTCTTTCCGGACTATTTATGCTCCTACTAGATAATTAACCCTTGTGCATCACAAATCTTGAGAGGCTGTCATATTCCAAACATTGATATAGAAAATCAGTCTGGGGAAATACTAGAAAGTAAATAAGGGAGAGCAAAACACTCAGACCCATAAGCCTGAGCACAAGCAGTGGGAAACAGCTGCTAAGAAAATGAGCAAATGCACATTGAGTGTTTACATGATAATATGCTGTGACTGGCAAGTGCCCAAAGGAACAGCAGGGGACACATGGCTGAGTGCTAGTCCTAAGACTGATCAGGAGACCCTCTTGTAAGTGACATAAGTTTAATACTGAAAGAATGAGGACAACTGAGCATTGAAGAAAAGCATTTCTCAGATAATAGGTCAGCAAGTGGATGGACACTAGGACAATAGCAAGTCGTCTGTAATCAAAGAACATTCTAGAGTATGGTGTGCCTTGAATTGAGTACAGATGGGGAAAATTTGTAGAGTGGGGCCTGAAATAACAGGTTTTTGTGAAAGTTGCATCTTTTTTTTCTAAAGAACACTGGGAAGACATCCATAGGCTTTGAGTAGAGAACTTCGATGTTTTAATGCCTCTTTAACAAGGACAATGTTAAATGTCTTTACTATACCTGCAGCTGTGAAAATGTTGGTGCATGTTCTGGTTCTGTACATATATGAAAGTAGAAATTAAAGAATTTGCTGTTAGGATTAAATGTTACACGTGGGATGAAAGAGAGAAGCCCGCATGCTGTCATTGAGTGACACTAACAAGCTTCCAATGATAATGATAGAATAATGTAAAAGGAACAAGGAAGTATGAGGTGGGAAGGAAATCAGATTTCTACTTTTGAATTTGAAAAAGTTCATTTTGACCAGCAAATAGAAATGTACACTAGGCTATCACAGACTTGAGAGCAGAGAGGAGGCACCAATGGTGGAGACATAATTGAGAAGCCATCAGAATAGAGTGGACATTTAACCACAGACACGGATGAGGGTGCTCTTGGCGTTAGAACACAGGGAGAAATTTTCTAATAAAATTTCTAATAAATGAGAGTAGGTGGTTGGGAACTGGGAAATTTACTAAGAGAGAAAAATGAAGAAATTAATTAGAAATATCTCAAAGCAAGGGGAATATTTAAAGGAACATAAAAATGGCCACTGGTGTCACATGACTTCAGAGGAAAGTTACAATGAAGTCTTATTGTATTTGAACATGTCAGGATCTGGACAAGAATTCTTTCAGTGGATCCATGGAAATGGCAGCCTGATGTCATTCAAAGGATGCAAGGGGATTGTGGGTGGGAAGAATGAGTGTGACCATCTCTCCAGGAAAAGTTGCTGTGAAAACCCACATGGAGAAGGCTAGTCACTGCCAAGGGTGGACGCTAATGGAAATGAGGTCTGTGAGAGTCAAGCAGTGGCGCTGTAGGGCCAAGTAAAATAACTGTGAGGAGGGGGGACACTGGGATCCTTTGACAAGAGACAGAACACAAGCGCACAGAAACAAGACACATTTTCGTAGTTATGCAATGTGGAAATACTAAGTGAAAGTAAATAGCTTACATATTTGGCAAGTCTATAGACTAGGAAAGATGATGCATATTTTTAATGTTGCCAGTAGTAAGTGCCATATATCAGATCATCAATCTGCACAGCAACATTTCTTTCAAAATAAACTCTGTATATTTTCTCTTATCAACTTGTGAAGTCTTAGACTTGTGATGAGAGGAAATTCAATTTATCAAATAGGAGGGTGGAGGTGAAGACCAACTGAAACAGCACCAAAATATTAAATAGGCACATGGTAGATTGATAGAATATAGATAGATAGGTAGATAGATAGATAGATAGATAGATAGATAGATAGATAGATAGATGATAGATAGATAGATAGATAGATAGATAGATAGATAGATAGATGATAGATAGATAGATAGATAGATAGATAGATAGATGATAGATAGATAGATAGATAGATAGATAGATAGATAGATAGATAGATGATAGATAGTAGATAGTAGATGATAGATAGATAGATAGATAGATGATAGATGATAAATAGTAGATAGTAGATAATAGATAGATAGATAGATAGATAGATAGATAGATAGATAGATAGATAGATAGATAGATATAGAATCAATGCACTTCTTGTCAACAGTCTTCATTATTCCCCTTGAGTATTTTTTATGATGGTGTTTATGCCTGGAGTTTACTGGGGAGTTTACTAAAGTTACCTTAGCACACATTTGACTTAGAATATCTTGTAAGGTTCTAGTTCTGATTCTTCTGTTTACAGCATCATTGATTCCTGTCTAAATCTGTTGCAGTGTGCCTGAATACTATGACTACGGTCATGGAGTAAATGAGGATGCCTATGACAGCTACGGTAAGACCTTTTCCTTACTATGGTTATAAGATCAGAACTACCATCTGTCACTGACAACTCAGAAATTACTTCTGTATCCACCTCCCTGCCCCATTTTTCACAGAAGTACTGGCTACATTGATTTATGTAATTCCACAGTAAGATTTGACTTACAGAACTAGTGCAGAAAATTGGACAGTGCAACTTTGATCAAAATTTGAAAAGAAATTAATCACAATCATAGATCATTTCTGCAGCATAGGTGAGCAGTCAGTAGTGCGGCCATGTTCCAGGATGCCCATGGTACCAGCATTTGCTGTAACCTCAAAACTGTGTCTTTCCTTTACTCACAAAGATATCTGTATAATCTACATTTAAATATTTTTATTTTTCTATATGTCTACAACCAGTTATGCCAACACCATTTGTTGAAGATGCTTTATTCTTTCCATTGTACAATTTTGGCTTGTTTTTGTCAAAAATCAGGTGTTAATAAGTGAGTGGATTAATTTTGGGGTTTTCAGTTCTATTCAATTGATCCATGTGTCTGTTTTTTTATGCCAATACCAAGCTGTTTTTATTATTTTAGTCTATAATAGACCTAGAAGTCATGGATGATAATGTCTCCAGAAGTTCCTTTATTGTACAGGGTTGTTTTTGCGATCCTGAGTTTTGTTGTTTTTCCATATGAAGTTGAGTATTATTCTTTGGAGGTCTAAAAAATTGTGTTGTGATTTTGATGGGCAATGCATTGAATCTGTAGATTGCTTTTGGTAGGATTACCATTTTTACTATGTTGATCCTACTTATCCAAGAGCTTGGGAAATCTTTCCACTTTATGATATCCTTTTCGATTTCTTTCTTCAAAGACTTAAAGTTCTCATACAGGTCTCTCACTTGTTTGGTTAATGTTACCCCTAAGTTATTGTATGTTATTTGACTATTGTAAAGGGTGATGTTTCTATGAGTTCTTTCTCAGTCTGTTTAAGGGAACATGCATATGACTGAACTAGGCCCTCTGAATGTGGATGACAGTTGTGTGTTTTTTTTTCTGTTTGTGCGGCCCCTGACAGTGGGACCAAGAATTATCTCGGGTACATGAACTGGCTTTTAAAATCCATTTTCTATGGTGGGATATCTTGCTCAACCTTGATGCAAGGGAGGAGAGGCCTGGTCATACCTTAACTTACTATGCCAGACTTTATTGACTCCCCCAAGAAAAGCTTTACTCCCTTTAAGTGGCAGATTGTGGATGGGATGGAGAGAGATGAGGGAGACTAGAGAAGAGGAGGGAGGGGAAACTGGGGTTGGTATGTAAAATAAGAAAAAAATTAAATAAAAAATACTTTTTGGCTTCTAAGTGCAAATAATTTTTATTATATAAAGAGTTTTAATTATATCATTATCATATATATGTCTTAAAATTCCAAATAACATTTGTCTTGTAGGCATTAGCATTTAGTAAAAATATTAGTCAATAAAGTTGATTTCAAAATGTATTATTAAATCAAGAATATCACTTAAAATTAAGGACAATTTATCTAGTAAACACTTGCTGAGTGCCTGTGATCTAGCTTTACAATATAACATTTTGATGGGTCTGGTTCTGTAAAATGTTCAGTTAGAAGGTTCACCTTGAAAATGACATTTAGGAAGCTGGGGCTGGAGAGATGGCTCAGAGGTTAAGAGCACTGCCTGCTCTTCCAGAGGTCCTGAGTTCAATTCCCAGCAACCACATGGTCGCTCACAGCCATCTATAATGAGAACTGACACCCCTTCTGGCTTGCGGGCACACATGGAAGAAATGCTGTACACCTAATTAAATAAATAAATATTGGGGGCTGGAGAGATGGCTCAGTGGTCAAGAGCATTGCCTGCTCTTCCAAAGATCCTGAGTTCTATTCCCAGCAACCACATGGTGGCTCACAACCACCTGTAAAGAGGTCTGGCGCCCTCTTCTGGCCTTCAGGCATACACACAGACAGAATATTGTATACATAATAAATAAATATATATAAAAAAAGAAAATGACATTTAGACATTTATAATTTTGGATTTTCTTTAAAATTATGCAATGGCCCCTATTCTTCTGATAGAGAATAAAGAAGACAATGGAGTTATTTACGTGTTTGAAGCTTCATGTCATGAAAGTGTATTGCTATGTCAGTAGGGTGGAAGAAAGACACAGATGTTGTGAGACAGAGGGAGAGGAAGGTTCAGAAGACCATGTATGGGAAGGAAAGCACAAATCATCAGTTAAGGAGGGAAACACAGATGGTGGAAGAAGGCAGGCAAAGTCTGGCAGCAGGGATTAGGGCATCATGCAGGAAGACATGGTGGTGGAGAATTAGGCATCTTGATCTAAAGGCAACAGGAAATAAACTGAGACACTGGTTGTGGCTTGAACATACATGAGACCTCAAAGTCCACCTCCGCACCTTCTAATAATGGCACACATTATGGGATCCATTTTTTCTCAAACCACCACACAGAGTTAAGGTCAATGTTACATCACCTTAACTTCTGTGGTAGTTTGAATGAGAATATTCCCCCATAGGATTATATGTTTGAGTACTTGTTCCCTAGTTAATGGAACTGTTTAGGAAGGATTGGGAGGTATGGCTTTATTGGAGGAGGTGTGTCACTTGGGGCAGCCTTTGAGGTTTCAAAGGACTCATGCTATTCCCAGTGTAATTTCTGTCTCCTATTTGTGTTCTAGACAAGGTTCTCTGCTCTTCATGTGGTTCTCCATGCGTTTGTTCCTATATCATGTACTCTAACCCTCTGAAATCATAAACCCAAATTAAACACTTTCTTGTGCATTGCCTCTGTCATGGTTTCTTATCACAGAATAGAAAAATAACTATGATAACCCCCAAGTCTCCTCTTCTAGGTCTATCCCAAAAAAACATCTGTAGTGACATTGCCAAGGCAACTGGTGATTAGAAAGATCTGAGGGTGATAGTCAAACTCACCATTTAGAACAGACATACCCAGGCTAAGGTTGCACCTTCTGCCTTTTGCCCTGATCACCAAAGTTCTCAAGGAGCCAGCAAAAAACAGAAAGCAGCAGAAAGATACTAAATACAGTGTAAATACCACTTTGATGACATTGTCAACATTGTCTGACTGGTGTGGGACTGGTCTTACTCAGAGAATGTTCTGGAAATATTAAGGAGCTCCCAGGTACTATACAACATGTTGCAGTAATGGGGATGGATGGCTGCCATCAGGAAATCATAGATGACATAATCAGGGGTGCTGTGGAAGCTCAGCTAATATAAAAGCAACATGAGAGAATTTCAATAAACTATCATCTGACAGAAAAGACACAAACTTAGCTTTTTAAGAATTTATTTTACTTTACACACATAGGTACTAGCTTTTTGATCATATACAAAGTAGATATTGTTTTTCCATGGCTCCTGTTGTTTCTTGTTAGAAATATATGACTGTATACATGTTGTATTAGATTATAATCTTCATGAGTTTAGAAACTAGGATTCAGAAACCAAGTGTCCCGAATTGGTATAGATCTGGACAAAGTCAGAGAACATTACTCATTTAAAAAAATGCTTATTAAATGGCTATGAAATGTAAGTGCTGCTCTCAGTGATGGTAATACTACAGTGAAAATCCTCCTGGAACTTCATTTCTAATGAGGAGATATATTATCATTCATGAAACGGCTTGAGATTTTCATTGTAGTCATTAGTTTTCACACTTGGTATGTCAGTCTGGGGAATATAGCTCTCATCTTTCCTTTATGGAATCATATGCACTGAAATCAGTGCTGCATTTGTTGATGTGCAACAGGATGGTTTGTGAAGACATGAAAAATTAAATACTAGGAGAAAAAATTCAATTAGGGAAAGAACCAATAAAAAAAATAAACAGTTTTCAGAAGAACTACAAGTAGCCAATAAACGCATGAAAAAAAAATTAATCAACTTACTTCACCATCAGAAAATTGAAAATACTTTAAAATTCCATTCCACCTTTGTCAGAAGGGATGACATCAAGAAAACATATGACAACAAACACTAGTGAGCATGTGGGGAAAGATGAACCCTTACTCGGTGCTTGTGGCAGCATAAACTGGTTTAGCCACTATGGAACTGTAAAGTGGTTTCTCAGAAAAGTTCAAGTAGGATATCTCAGTTTATATCACACTCTGGACTATTTATCCAAAGGACTCTAAGTCCTACCATAGAGACACCTGAGCATCAATGTTATTGCTACCAGACTCACAACAGCTAAAACAACAAGGCAAGATATCCATCAGCAGAAGAATGGAGAAGGTGGCAAATATGCACAGTGAAGTTTTATGGAGCTGGAAAGGACAATGAAATCATGACATCTGCAGGAAATGGGTGGAACTTGATAACAGCATATAAAGTGAAATAAACTAAACTCAGAGAGATAAACAGCACAAATCTTCTGACTTGTGTGTGTGTGTGTGTGTGTGTGTAGGTGCATGTATAGATGTGATCATAAAATTATAAAGGGAACCATGAGAAGGGGAGAGGGGACCTTAAGTGGATCAGATGAAGGGTGAAAAGAATAGGATCAGCAAGGGTTGAGGCCAAGGGAGGAGGAAAGGGCTTAGGTAAGGAACCAATGACAATCATGTATAAAGATGGCATAATGAAACCTTTTATTTCTATGTCAAGTTAAAAAGCTAATTTAATTTTTTTCTTCTCATGGTATATAAAAGTATTGTTTATCTCTTCTCTATCACTAGCATTATACAATGTTAAATGTAGACTTTAATGTATTCCACATGAATAATAAAAATCAACTATTTATATGATCATTTGAAAATGATGCACTTTTTTGCATAACTACAAAATATAGTGTTGTGGGATATTTGATCGCACTGTGAAACCCTGTGTCAAATAAATCAACCTTGGGTCAGTGAGTGGAGCCAGCATTTAGCTGGCAGGAATTAGCCATAGAGAGTGCAAAGAGACAGGGAGATGGGTAGAGAGATGCACAGGTTGAGGAAGCAACTGTCCTTT